AAAATCCCTGAAAAAGCAGCAATTAAGAACTGTATGGCATTTAGTGATAACAGAGGTCAAACCGGTTGCACATGAACTTGCTTGTGTAATAAGGAGAGCAATTTGTGCAAAACCAGTAACCAACAGGCAGTTACGTGTGTCAATCCAACACTGAAAGGGCACTCCAGTACCTTTTGGGGTGCTATTTGGAGATGAAAAATCTGGGCAAACTCAGGGCTAGCACAGGCCTGCCTACACTCACTGGTTTTGACTGGATCGAGCATAAAATCCATCAGCAACTACTCTCCAGCTTGCTGCTTCTTAAATAGGGTACTGATGTCTTGAACACAAGCTCCAGCTAAATGACAGTCAAGAACATGGGTAGAAACCCTCTCTTCACCTTACAAATGCTTCTGGTTGATTTCTGTGTTATCCAAACTGGTTGCAAGACAAAGGGAGTCATTGGAAACCCTGTCCTCCAGAAGTAACAAGACTTTTCATTCAGTGGACAATCTGCTCGAAAAGCAAAAGAGCATTTGACCTCATTTCAGTATTTATAGAAATAAGGTCAGAAACTCATGAGAATGAAGATACTTGCATATAAGAGACTGTTCTTCAAAGCTGTAACATAGGATATCCCTGGCAAAAAGCAGCAGTAAGCCCTACCTTACATGCAAAGGGTTAGATCTGTTGTCCCACAGTGGAACATGACTCTATGATAGAGTCATCATATTTGCAGACCTTCTCTAGTGCAGCTCAGTGTCATCACTGGATGGCAAAGCATGGTAACATGCACCGCCTTCAAAGCATGAAAATGGAAGGCAAACACCAGACTATTCCTCTCCAGAGTGAGAAACCTTGGTATACATCGTTACTGCAAAGTAAGTTCTTTGCAGTTCAAAAACTTCCTTGGAGGGACACACTCAAAAGGCATAAACCATCTGGAGGAGGCAAGGTCTATAAATCACTGCCAGTCAGCTTAGAAAAAATGTTGTCATTGCTTCTCTGTGGAGGAGTAAAACGATAAAAGAAATTTATTTTATGTATGGATGGTTCAACCATAACGCTATTTTAACATCATTTTCTTATAACCCATCTACACACAACTATTCAAACATTTGTTATAAAGTATGTATGGGATGACTCATCCAGCTGAAGAACAAACCTAATTGGTCAAACTTCCAGGACACTGTGTGCTGAGCTATAGAGAATCATAATCTCATCTATTAGGAGATGTGACAAGTTGCAGAAGCTATCTAAAATTCCTGGAAGAGGTAGTGTGAAATAAGAACCGTTGCCTAGGGACAGTCTCTTCTTTATGATAATTAAAGAGCTCAGATCTGTGCTATTCTGGTTGGATGAAAAATATGCACGCATAAGCTTCTGGCTTGGGCTTGCTCATGCGAGAAAGTTGTCTAATAATTCATTATCTTCTTCAATAAAAGATAACCAAAAGGCGGAATAAAGGGCATATGTGGATTTGACTGCCATGTTCATACGGTCCCAAAACTTACCCCAGAGATCCTGCTCTTCTATATAATAGGGCTACATGAGTTAAAAAACAAACAAACAAAAAACCCACCACAACAACAAAACAAACAAACAAACAAAAAACAACCAACCAAAACCCAAAAAACCCACAAACAAAAAACCCCAAGAACTTGGGAAGAGTTCCCTTCTTTCCTGAGAACATTGTTCATATGAGAACATATCAAGCAACCAGAAACAGGGGAAAGAACAGGACGTCATTGATTGAAACAGGAATGTTAAAAACCCCTCCAGAGAAATTATTAGTGTGGGGGGCACACAGTCACAAATATAGAGTCCCAGCACAAATACTCAGTAATGACAGAGACTCTCTTTCCCATATTTCTGTTTGAATTGATGACAGTTCTATTCTTTGGGTGAAAAATAAAATACAAGACATCTCATTTCGTATTCTCCTGGACACCAAAGCAGTGCAATAGCAGACAGGAGAGGACCTCTTGGCTATTTCTTTGCACCCTCTTGCTGTCCTGTCTCTTTCCCCAGCACACAGGTACCACATACTGAGATGTATTACTCCTCATATGCACATTAGTAGAGCCATAGTAGCAAAATTGCTCCCTATGAAAATCCTTTAATTCAGGCATCACTGTGGACTCACACTATTGTACATGCACATCTCATACAGACCTCACTTATTTGGGGTGCACTAAACCAATGGGCTATCTACACTGATGGACTTTTTACCTTCCCCTCCATCATTTCTCTTGCAGAAATCCACAGGATGATTTACTTGCTTCTGCCAGTGTATAGCTACCAACAGCCCAGCTCAAGTAGAGATGAATACTTTAATTTTAATCAGTGTGCTAGCAAGAAGGTGTGGTTGATCTTTCCAACACGCCACATACTGGAAGGCTATACTAAGCAACCAGCCAGTAAAATAAAATATGATGATTGCATTTATATCATCTTTTTTTAAGCATTTAAAAGTGTAGCCAAACTGAGATAATAAAAGTTAGGTATTTACTATGATTTCCTCTTACAAAAAACAAATGTAAAATGATTTAACCAGTACCAGATAATAGTCTTGCTTATAACCAGAGGGCAGTATTTTTAATAACTTCACTAAAAATATTCACTGGTATAAAAATGTGGTGCAATAAAAAAGTACAAAAGGTAATGAAATATTACCTATTATCTCAGCTCATTTTTGTCAGGAAATAATACTACAAACTTAATACGTTACATGGAAGCCTTATGAAAAGCAGGCATGGAGAGGCTTATAGTCTTATCCAGTATTAGATGAGAGGCCGAGTGATTAATAAATTGACATCGAAGAGCAGAGAATGGAAATCATATGGACTTTAGGGAAAGGAAATAGCTTAAAAATGAAACCATCGTGCTGCCAGGCTACGTAGGAAGAGGCAGAGCTCCCACAGCCACCCCCACCGTGCAGCACAGGGGAAGGCAGCTTAAACCCCTGTCAGTGCTGTACACACAGCTAGAGCATCCAGCTCCCCCGCTGCTCCACAGGCCTTGGGCACACACGGGTGAGAGCAATGGGGGAACTGCACCAAAAACAGCAAGAGGAGAGGAAAAAATACATTGAAAGGAGAGGTTTGAATGCAACAGCAAGTTGGGCATTTGAGGAATGGGAAAAATAAGATACTCTATGGAAGGAGCAGTGAAATGAGACCTATCCATAACAGTGGATGAGCTATGTATCTAACCTACAGGCCTCCAGCATACGCAGTGTGTAAGGATGAGATGTTCTTGATTGCTTTCTTAAATAACAAGGCCAGACCTTTTGATGGGATTAAAACTTGGTCTTACACTGACCTTAACACTGTTCAGAGGATTAAGTTTTAAATATCCTGTAAAGCACCATTACTTAAAGTATCAACAATGCCGTTTATTGCAGGTCATAAGCCAACACATCACTTCCAGGAGACTCCACATTTACTGTTTTTTTTTCAGGCACATTGTGTCTGGTTCTGATTTGTACATTGCTCACGCTGGAAAACTGCTGTGGTTTCCAAGACTGGGGATTTAACTGGCTAATTCACTGTTTTCTTTACGAGTGGTATCAACGGAGTCACTATCAGTGGTAAACAGGTACTACACATACAATACGATCAGCGAAGAATTCAGTAAAAATCAACAGCATGTAAGCCCCTAGTAAGTAATTTAGATCAGAACATGTGATGAGCAATGAAAAAAAAATCCAAGAAGCTATAAACATTTATTCACAGGCCACTTAAGAATAAATTATGGCTTTAAATATCCTGCATGAAAGCAACAGAATTGTCCTTGTGAAATACATGCTAGTAAATTTCTGGAAAAAAAAGAAACAGTGCCATTCTGTAGTGCTTCAGAATAGAGCAGCTGAACATTTATCCTTTCAAGAATTTGAACAAGCCTTATGTTGAAGTTGATCAAGGATGAATGGGAATATTTTTTTCCTGGATCACATTCCGATTTTAAAAGTGCTAGTTTTCTTCTGAATTGCTAGAAAATAATTCTAGTAAACTTTTTTATTTCTTGCAAAGCTAAGAACAACTGGGCCAAGTGAAAGACCATTCAGTTCCCTGAGTCAACTCCTGTTAATTGTCAAGGATGATACCCTTCCATAAAAACTTTTAAGCCCAATCCCAGCTTTTCAAGGAGCAGGACTATAGCTAGGCTCTGCTTGCTCTCTGTGCTTTCTACTCAAGTCATTGCTATTTCCTCTGACTTCAGAAATGTGAAATTACATCTCACATTTTTATCACTCCCATGCTCTGTGGTTTAGGAAAACCATCATATCTGCTCAAGGAAAAGAAAGAAAATACTAGCAGCTACATGCTTGGAGTCTAATTTTAGGAGGAACTGAGCCATTATAATATGCTGCAGTCAACGGGAACTGTTGGCACTCAATAATTCATGAGTTTCTTTCCACGTTTGAGTACAGCCTGTTGAAAATTTCTCAAGGATACATTCTTCATCAAGAAATTCCAATTCCTGTGAACCAAAACTGCTTACAGGACAGGATATACTTGGATATTTGTTTAATAGCTCTTCTTCTATCTAGTTGGAAATGGCTTTTAATCTATAATAATATAATAAATTATTTTAAATATGGAAAGAGTTGCTTGACTACAATACAAAAGACTTTTTACAAGATGAAACAAGCCGTTTCAATCTTCACTGTGATTTTTTTTCTTTTTAAACACAAATGTTTGAGAAGAGACAGGATTCAAAGTTGTTTTACTTTAAATTTGGGCTGGAAAACATTTTCATAACTGCCTGAGAAGAGAAAAACATTTCCTACTCTAGATCTAGTTAGTTTCATAGCTGTCCTAAAAAAACCCCAAACTTTAATACTCACGCAGATAAACCTTTCTTTGACCCTAGTGATGAGTGGAGTGTTAAATTTGTTATGTCTTTACTGTCACTTTGATTCACTTATTTTAAAATGAATGCCATTTGCATCAGAAGGCAGCAGAATAACCACTTCTTACCTTTAGTCTTTCTGTTACACCATCAGTGAAACTGACTGTGAATTCAGCAATTTTGGGCACTCTGAGTTTTCCTTTGTTCTTCTGGTCAGGCTGATATTCTGTTCTTGTTTTCACAATTACCTGGAAAATATCAACACTTTTAAGGTTTCTGCACACAGCATACATTTTTTTGCTATCTAAGCTTTTCTGTATAAACCATCCCCTGGACCTACACAGGTGCCTCTGAAACATAATTTAACACAAACTTGTCGTAGCCTCAGGGACTGCGACAGATAAAATAGGCAGATACACAGACCTAGGACAGGGAGCTTATCATATTGGGTCTTAAAATAGCTGACAGCAAAATGTTTAACACTCATTTTTGTTTAAGACTGGGCATATAATTTTTATATCATATTCATCAGGCAGAACACGCAGAATAACAGCCCATCCTAAAGAAGAGCCTCAGTTATTAAAAGCCCCATCCTAACAAGTTCCACTGAAGCCAATTTAAATTTAGGCCATTTGGTGTCTCATTTATTCAGGCTCCAGATTATCAATATTAATCTCACACTATCACCTTGGGTTTTCCCCAGAAAATCTAAGTGTCATTTGCTGACTAATCCAGGTCCTACTAATCATATAAAAACGAGGTGGTTTACACCAACGGAGAAGCCGTAAGTGGCTTTTAAAAGGGTATGGTCAAATTACCAAAATTGCATTGTCAATCTACACTGAATTTATTTGTAACCTAGAGTGACCCTAAGTATTTTGGATAAAATCCACCTACCGCAAACACAGAAAAGGTAACACCTAATGCCAGCTGCTTCCAGAGGGGACTTGCATCGCGGCTGTACTCTGAAACTAATAGCCCTTCAGAGGACTGAGTGCATCCATCCCATTACACGCAAGAACCCTAAAAGACTCTCCATCCATGAGTGTTTGCAACAAAACAGCAATGTGAGAGCGTGCCAGCACAGCTACGCTATCTTAATCCAGCTGGAAAATGCAAGAGAAGACAAAACGGCCCAGTTTTCAGCACTGGCCAAGTGCTGGAGCTCATCACTAGCGAGGGGCTGTGGTTGTGAGCACACAGCACCACTGCGCTCCTCCAGGATTCCCAACCCAGGGACAAGGTCCACAAAGCATGTAACGGCTTGGTGTGGTTTGCAAGGGTCGGATAGTTTAAACACAAAACGAGAGAAAGAACATCAAAGCTTGATCCCAGGGCCAACACTTCCACTTTTTTGGCCTCCCATTCAGAACTGCAGGACTACACAGCCATCAGCCTTGCCAAGGTAAATACCAAATACTCCAGGAGTGCTGTCTGGTTCATATGAGTGACAAGAGTGACTCTAAAGCTCTTTGTTAGAAACAAAGTCTTGAAAGATTGAAAAAGATTAAGTGATGCACAAGGTTGAGTTACCAGCTAATGAAGAACTTACTTCCGAATGAAGATAGCAAAGTCTGGCTTATACCAGAGAAAACCCCAGGTATTTAATCCTCCTGCACTTAATGTCATGTGAAAATCATTGAGAGAAAATCAGCATGGAGTCATAAGCCAATTTTCGGGATTCAAATGCAAATCATTAAAGACTGATGAATATTTACATCCTTCAGTGACTCTCTCTCAATACTATTTATTACAGTAGCATTTACAACATTGAAATTTTGAAAGAAGAGGGAAGAAAAAGCCACCCAAGTGTATTTATATTAGCATTTTGGAACTCAGGATTTCTGGTAACACAAGATAGATGATGAGATATGACACACAGGGACAACCTTGATTTGGCAGGTTTGGGATGAACACTAAGCCTACTATTGAACCTAACCTCACTATGCTCTGACGTGCAGCCCAGGACTGTGGACCACACAAAGCAAAGCTCCCTCTCCATCCAGGACAAGCTGGCCCAGGTTAGCAATGAGTTACAAACAAGCACTAAATTCATTTTCTTACTAAAAAGGCAACAAGGGCACTCAGGAGTCCATGCAGCTGGCCCCTTGCTTTCCAGCCACCTTCCTGGCCTTTTGTAAACCCAGGAGAGTAAATTACAGAGTGTCAGCCATCAACACCTGCCAGTCAGTGTTCAGAAATTGCACTCATTCTGCTTTCAAACCTACCAGTCACAATATCCAGTTCTCTCCAATTCGTGCTTCCTGCTTGAATATAAATCTTGGTTGCAGACAAAATTTTTAAATATAAATGAGGGCTTTTCCACAAACACTGACGTTAAGTCTTAATGAAGAATGATGAACACAGAATACAAGAAAAAAAAAGATCCCAAGCCTTACTTGTTTCTAGATATAATTTAATTTTTCTTCCATTGTTTATAATTAACACCAGTTTTCTTACAGGTATTTTTTAACTGCTGTTACATTCAACCAATATCCTACAAGCTGGAAAGTTTGAGTTATGTTGTCTACAGGGATACAGCATAAGACTGAAAATAAACCCACACAGCCATCCACAAGGCATCGGATTCAAGTCCAGTAGCAATGTCTACCGTGTCTACGAATAAATAAGCAAGCTGAGTCCCCAGCCAGATCAGGAGCTACTTGAAACTCAATTTGCTGACTGTGCCACCAGTGAATGAGTGCACGCACAGAGCCGCAGTCATCCCGCTGGTCAGTGTTTTGCAGAGATACTTGCAGTTGTATCAAAAAGCTTTAACAGAGGAGGTAAGAAGTACCTTTGCTAAATGCCTTTCAGCATTGAAAAAGCTAAATACCCGCTCTCCAGAAGTATCTTTGTCAGACACCTGGTGGAATTATGCAGCAGAAGAAAGACAGGGCTGTCAGTAAGGTCTCCTCTTTAAAGGAGAGCACAAAAATAAAATGAGAAAGGACAAACAGAAAGCTGAAAACCTGTAGTGTGGGGGTAGCATTCAATATTGTGGCGGCAATGATAAAAATGCAATTTTGCTGAGGGCATGGGGTGCGCATTTAGAAGAAAAGAGCTACCTCTTGTTCAGTCGCCTACAGTCTAAATAAATAAGCCTGAGCACGGATCCCACTTTGCAGCGACGTGCACCCCCTCTCCATCCAACACGCTGCCGTCAGGAAGGCTTCTGGAAATCGAGTTGTGTTCATTGCACTCCTCGAGCCCTGCCCTGCACTGCTGAGACCTCCCAAGTCAGGACTGCCTTAGCAGTATCCAGAGACAGGAGTGAACACTGTCAGGTAACACACAGATACGCACACACCCCACATGCAGTTTTTAGCAGAGCATTTGCTACACTGACAGCCTCCCATGTGTATGTTGTGTTTCTGAAACAAGCTTAAATGAGAGCTAGTCAAAACCCAAAAGAACTTTTCTACAGCATGAAGTATTAATCTAAGTGCAAATTCAGGAAAGGAATAATTAATCTCATAAAGATTTTTAATATATTTTTAGCATTATTAGCTTTTTGCTATTTTGGTTGGTTGTTCTGTTTTCATTTTCCAGTTTTCTGATTTGGGTTGGATGGGAAAGATTTGCCTTTCCCCCCGTTCCCTGCTATCACTCCTTTTTCACCTTTCCTTTCCATTTTGTCACTGAGCAAAAATTCCTGGCAGTAAAGTCTTCCAGAAATTCTAACCAAATGGCTGTTGGATGTACAGTAACAAAACCCCCACTGACTCCACAGTCAGCGCAATGATCAGTGTTCATTTATCACCGGCTGCCCCAGAGCACTTCCATCAGAGCCCAGGATCCCACTGTTTCAATGCAAACAAAGTACATTCATCTCACACCACGACAGGTTTCCAGGGAGAGCCGCTGGCGTTTATTACAAACCACAGCAAACAGAATGAGCTCCATTCCCTCCTCTTGTCCGTTTTGCAGCTTTGCTGACTTCAGTAGAGTTATTCTTGATTGAAACCAGTAAAAGGGAGTATAAAATTGGGGTCCTGTGTAGGTTGCAATTCATAGCAAACTGAAGTGGAAGAAATGCCCATCTCATTCCATTCTCTGCAGTGCTGTTACAGTGGAAATGAACTGCTGTAAGGGTGTCACTTCCAGAGCTGGCAGCGATGTTTGGCTGTGCTCTGGCCTCCTGAGTACAGACAATAAATGCAAACAATCGAAGCAGCGCTAAAATGGACAAGTTGTCTCTTGAATACTCCCAGAAAAGACAATAGCCTCCTCCTCACCCCCACTGCAGCAATACCATTCTGCCCATTCTCTGCACTTGCCTCCTTGAGCTCTCACCTCCTCCTGCATGCTCCCTAAGGTTTGTCTGAACTCGGACCTCTCATGCTGAGAAGAGTCTGGCTGGTTTCAGCTGGCATCTCTGTGAGTTTACCGGGGCAGAGAATTATTTTTTATTAACATTATTATTATCATCATCATCATCAAGCAACCTGCACGCTTGTAAATTAAGATTAACAAGCAAGAACAAACCCATCAGCTTTTTGGACTGTCTAAGCCTTTGCAGTTGCTGGATAAATACTCTTTGAACTTTTTCAGACACTTCTCAGCCTTTGTGTTTCATTATCCAGGCTCTGATTCAGCACCAGCCTATGCCTGTGCCTCACTTCGTGTGTTGTGATTGTTCACCAAAGAGTGCGGGCTCCCTGCCAGCTCAGTCCAGCCTATCTGTAGTACTTTGAAGACAGTACTGTGGATGGAGTCTAGGAGAACACTAGCTCAGGGACTCTCCCTGCAAATTATGTTGCTTCTGTAACCTGTTCTTAAAGTTTTTACAGAGACCTTCCACCTTTAAACTGCAGAGCGAATGTGCTGTTTGATCCAGATGCAATAAAGGGGGCACAAATAAATTACCTCAGACTTTCTTCAGTTCTCATGCAAAATAAAACTGCTATTTGAAAGTTGTTTCCTAGCCGAAGTCTCCAGCCTGATTGTAGAATATGAGAAAAGAGAAAAGGGTTTATACGGAGCAGCAAAAAGACACATCTAATTACAGAAATCCATGCTGCCAGTCCTTGCAGCTTCCTCCACAACTATGTTTATCTAGCATTTGAACTCATTAACTTGAATTCAGCAAAGCACTTAAGCGCGCAAGTAGTCCTATTAACATCAGCAGGATTAGTCAGATATTTAAAGTTAAGTGTGCATTGAAGTGCTTTTGGCCAGATCAGAGTTTAAACGGCCTTAAATCACCATCCCACAGCCAGTTATAATACTGATGCTCGGGACTCCT